TATCGCTGGGAAAAACTCGCAGAACTGCTACAACACCATTTTCTGTCATAGGGCCACTGAATCTGGGTTCGGGGCACCAATTTTTCTGGCAGAATTCCTATCTTCCCACTTTAAGGAAGATCTTTACCTTTAAGAAAAGGAAGGAGGTAGGATTCTTGCCCTACGGGATAATGATTTTAGTGCCAATAAAATTCCCATCATTCTCCTTCGATGATCACAAAGGAATTTAATATAAAAACAAAAGAATTAAATGTGCTTATGATTAGAAGGAAAACACTCTCTTCTGATCCCGATAAAATAAGCATTCAAGGGAACATGAGCCAGGAAGACGACGACACACCTACTAAGGAGTACCAAGAGTCGGGAGAAACTTCACATCTCTTAGTCAAGAAAAAAAGAAGTCATCCTCGTAAGACACCCCTCTTGAGTCCCACGCCGCAATAGCCTTGGGAAGGAATCCAATGGCACAAAATTATAGTCAAGAAGGCACTTCCAATAACAAGCGAGGGAGTGTTCATATTGCAATGTTGGGTGCATTGCCGGTACATCACAAATGTCCTCATCGAATTTGGGTTTGGGTTAAGTCTTATCCCCCACTTCTTGTATGAGAAAATATGAATTTACTCAGAAGTAGGAGGGCAAGGCAAGGCTTAACCAGTCGAATGGGGCTAGTAAGAAATGTGCCTATCCAAGTGGGTCCCCTCGGTTTCCGGATCGCGCTATCATTACACTTAATCCCAACTACAGGCCAAGTGCAACCTATATAAGGTGTAGATAGTGATATGATCCCCATTGGATCAAGTTACAAGTTGAAATTGCTTGGTCAAGAAGCCAACTCAACTCATTAGAAGAACTTGGATTTTTGGCTAAGTATTGAAGCTTTTTTGGGAAGCTCACTTTGCAAGTCTGGTTCTTTCGTTTGGCTTGTTGAAAATGGGGGTTGGAGGGTTTGTTTTGAATCTAGTAAGTTCCTTGACAACTTGGAGGGTCTGGGAGCTCGAGGCAAGGCTTGGAAGTTTGACTTTCAAGCTCACCAAAACTCAATGCCAACACAAGAAAGTTTCCACGATTTGGCTAAGGCATGGGACAGTTTTGGGAATGCAACTTTGGCGTTCAATTCAAGACGATTGGTTGGGAATCAAGTTTCAAGGTTTAAACCACATGAAAGCTAGTACTTTCTAATACAGAAACAAGGAGTTGGGTGATCGAATCAACAACTAGAAGGCTTCGAACTAGGGCCTTGAAGATGGAAATAAGACTGTTATTACTTGCGTTTTAAGTTTTCCGTGTTGCATTAGGATTAGGATGGATTTCGCTTTCCTTGTTTATGTCGAGTTTACTTTGTGTTTTAGATTGTTTGTAGGTTCTATTTAAAACTTACGAAGGGATTGTAATCAGATGTTGATTATTGAATGAGATTAAATCCCTAAATAGTAAGTTTTCATAGCTAGTTTTCGGTTGAGAGTTTGGCCGAGAATACCAACCTCGGTTGAGCTCTTGTATCAATCAAAATCGCATTGATCATGGGCGAGATTGACGTATAATCGTTGAGCCTTCCTCCAGGTGTAGGATTGCAAATTCAGTTCCATATTCTCCTTTCATTCGACAAAGGCAACTCGTGAAGTTTGGACGATTTGCAGAGATTGAATTGAGCAGCTCGAGTTTGGAAACCAAACACCCTACGAGGGTGTTATCAGATAGGGTAAATATTTCAATATCAAACAGGACGGTCTATCTACCCTTACTTTAATTGTTCACACGTTATCTAGTGGTCGGATTGTGGTTAAAGCTAAGGAAACTAGAAATTTAAACAAGCAAGAAAGTAAACTTTGGTGAGTTCGATTTGAGAAAGAATCAATCAGACATTGCTCCCCCTAGTCTCATTTCAAGATATAATGAATGAAACACTAGTGTGATAGGTATGATCAAACACCGTGAGGAGTTCACAATTAGCTCGGTAAACCCTAACCCTCTCAATTGATCGATTAAGGATTTTCACTATTAGCTAGGAAACCCTTGACCTCTTAATCGAACAACCAAGGGTCACAAAAAAAATCCCTCTCGCGTTAATCCAAAACTGGAAAAATTAGCCAATCACGACGATATCATGGCACCACTTCGATGAATGAGGCATGACCCAAATTATCATAGGGAAGGTTACCCAAATTGCCAAGATTGGGATACAAGGAAACACAAATAAGTAGACCTGGAATCAGGTCGAGTTGGGTAATTTTGGGTTGGGGCATACGGTTACTGGTTGGATCATGTTGGGTTGGCTCATTTCAGGTCAAATATTGACCTAACCCATTCGGTATCGGGCCGGGTTACAGGTCATTTCGGGTTATGAGCACTCTCAGAAACACTATCAAACATGCTTCATATTTTCTTAAAGAACACAATTTTTACATATTCATGACAATAGTTTACCTAACACATGTCAATTAACATATTGTCAAATCCTCCAATGCTAATGAAATGAAATACAAATTGCGCAAATCGTCAAAAAACAATCACAAGAGTAATACTACTACAAGAAACACATGATATTTGATTATCCTTAAACTCCAAACATGTCATTCAAATCCTTGTGAATTTTTTTAAACATATCACCAATTTATGAGTGATTTTTTCATTTTGTGAGTGATATATAAAATGGAATGGGTCTAACGGGTCGACCCGCTAACCCACCCAACTCGACCCAAAAAATAACTGGTTATCGGGTTTTGGTCATTCGGGTTTCGGGTTATAAAAAATTATACTTTTCGGGCGGGTTCGGGTCGGGTTGTAATTTGCCCGGTCTAAAAATAAGACAGAAGAAAAACCCATTACAAAGTGATCGTCCTTCCTCTTAGATGCTTGATTTTCCACCTTGGGAGAAGAAATCAACCTTCCTCTAGCCTTGGATAGGTAAAAATCTCCTTTCGCTTTCTTTAGCTCATAGCTTTCTCTCTCTAACTGTTGAAGAAGAAGCTCAAATCTCTCTCCAAGACTCCCCCTTTGAATTCAGCTAACTCTCCCTTTTATAGTCCCCGAGTGCAGGAATCACGGTCCAAGATCACACCCGTGAAGTCAACAAGGCAACCATGATCTCGACACAAAATTACGATCTTCACGGTGTTGTGCCATCTTCACGGTCTGCGCACGTGATAATTCCTCCAGAACCGTGATCTCTACATCTTTGACCATTTTGCTCCAGTCACATCCTCTTTCATCCGAATTTTGATCCTGATGCCAAGATTACATGCTTAGGTTTGAAATATGACACAACACGAACACACCTAGCATAAAATAGCTCGTAGGACCGAGGAAACCAAGAAAAATGACATAAGTAACGGGGTGTAAAAGTGTATAATCTAACCCGAATCAGTTTCTTACGACTTCCTCATCCTAGATCTAGGAAGCAAATGGGAATATCCTCTTGTTCTAGGATAGGATTTCCAAGTGGGCGCTAGAGCAATCTTGGAATTCTTCAAGAGGCAGTTCATGGTCAGAGCTGCGAGTTCACGGTCGCTAGGACCGTGAACTGGAACCACAAACCGTGAACAAAGAAGCGTCCAGAGGAGTTCCGGAGGTTATTGACGACAAGGCAGTTCACGGTCGCTAAGACCGTGAACTATAAGCACAAACCGTGAACTCCGGGAGTGATGTGGTGCGTTTTGGCCCACGACACTGAGTTCACGGACGCGCTTAGGTGTTCACGACCACGAACACGGCGCGATCTCAGTATAAATGGAGAGCTGAAAGGAAGAAGAAGGGAGCTGATACATAACTAATGGAATGCTTAGAGTATCTTCATTGCCCCATAAAAGGATCTTATCAATCTCGGTAGAAGTTATCTTTCCCTCATGTTCGGCGATAACGGTGGCCCCTGAATTGAGAGCCACATGGTGTTCCAATCCAGTTCCAACTAGCTTCATCAATATTACCTCCCAAATAAAAAGCATGCTCAGGAAGACTATCTAATTCTTTTGAAAGGATCAATTTAAGCCCTCTTATAGTTTTTGCTAGACCCAAATATTTTCCCGGAGAACCCGTAAATACATCTGCTAAGAAAAAGGTTTGTGATAAGAAATGGTCAATTTTTCGTGATCTTGCTATAGTTAAGCGATCCTCTTCGGATGTGCGATTCTTTTAGATCATAAGCTGGGACAGGAGAGAGGAAATCGATTTTCCACTATTCGTGATCAGTTCAGATAAGGATAATTAGTATTAGAAGGGGGAACCTTCTTTAATATCTAAAAAAAATATAAAAAGATCTATTCTATCCTTGTATTGTGACATATCGAGAGACAAAGGGCTACTTTTTGAATATGAAAAAGAGTGGATCTGCAGGATTCCAAATGAATGGGCTTATTCGAAAAAAAGAAGCTCTGTTCTTTGGAAGATCTATCTCGTATCTAGTACGACATGGTTCCACTCTCCAAGAATTTTGAATCATTCTCTTGAAACTCATCATCTTCATCATAAATGTAAAATATAAAAAGCATAGGTATTAAAGTGTAATTTGTCATTTGGATCCATGGACCAATCCATGAATTCACCAATCCAATTGAATTTGGATCAAATGGATTGAATTTAAATGAATTGGATTAGTTGGATTTTAAGTGGATGGCTTAGATTTGATTAAAAATTGCCACCTCTACTCATATTGGTTGTACCACGACACTATTGGGGTCTAAGCAACCCATTTTGTTATTGAATAAAGGTTATGGCGCCCTTAAAAAAAAGGAAATATTTGCACCACTCTCTATTCTCCTCCACTGAAACTAGCAAAAGAGTACGAACCTAATTGGTGGTTGACGCACTTCTCATTGTAAGGTTGTGTATTTGATCCCCTCTCGTAGCACCACCTAACAGGTTGAAATAATAATAAATAAAAAAGGACTAAAATAATCTAAAATTTGAAGTTAAAAAACTCTATATTATAAAACTGCTCCCTTCCTTATCTAATTCTTTTCCCGTATATCTAAAACATTTTTTTGCCTACTAATTACTAAACTTACTCGACCCACCAACAGAGCTCTCTATTTAACGCTCGCATTTCGTTTTCTATCTTCTGTTCTTTAACACCTCCCCTTCCTTCCCACTGCTCCTCGGCTTCATACCTACGCTCTCTCGGGATCTGATCTCCAAATCTATTTCTCTTTCTCACTCGCTCTGCTCCAAGGTATAGCCTTCAAAACTCCTTCATTCTCATAGTAGCCACGCTTGGTCTCTCTCGCTGATGTTCATTGGATGGTGACAATTGTGTGTTTTTCGAGCTTGTCGGTGGTTTAATTATGGAATTGCTGATCCGGGTTCTGTTTCGTACTGTATTAACTGATATGGGTTTAGATCTGTGTTGTCTGATGCTTTGAAATGTGGATTCTGGAGTGATGGCCAAGTGAATTCTTTCAGATGGGAATTGAAAACACAAAGAAGGCGGGATCTTTGTGGGGTTCTTTCTGTTTGCATTTCCTGGGCTGTTTGATTTATGATTCTAATTAATCAGTTGGCTTCTTTTACAAATTTTTGCCTTAAATTCTGTACTATGATTTTTTGCTAGTTATCTGCTGATGAGTGTTGTAGTTTCACCACCCTTTGTGAATTTGTGTTCCCAAATGCTATTAGTGAAAAATTAATGAGTTGGATCTGTCAATTATGGAACTTCTGATCTATTAATTGGTGGGTAGATGTGTATCTTCTGTATCCTCAAAGTTTGCTCTCCAATTTTCAGTTTTGTGGTACTTCTTATAGGCATAGCTTTAATCCAATCTACTGGGAACGGCAGCCTCAGATTTTTAGTACTTAAGTTGTTGGTAATATGTTTGTATATTATCCCTCCTCCTGGCAATTGATGATAGCTTTTCGTTTATTCTTCTCAGAAATGGGTCGTGGTGTGAGCAGTGGTGGAGGGCAGAGCTCATTGGGATATCTGTTTGGGAGTGGTGAGTCTCCCAAACCTGCCAAAGCCAGCAGCCCCCCAACCGCAGCCCCTGTTGAGACGGAGACTGTACACGTTAGGCCAGCTGCTGCCAAGCCTGCTCCCCAGCTGGCAGATATCACCAAGCAAATTCCTGCTGGCATCAACAGCACCTCCTCAAATAACTACATGCGTGCTGATGGCCAGAACACTGGCAACTTCCTCACTGTAAAGATCATACCTCAAATAACTACTGCATTGTGTTCTTTTTTATCTGACATGGTTGAATGTAGTTGAAACTGTTCAAGAGAAATCACATTGCTCTTCATAGTTAATAGTTCCCATGGCATGGATCCTAGATCTCAGTGATTGCTAGTTGGGTTGTTTCCATGGAAGTGACTGCTCCTACAAAGATTGGATATTATGCAGCCTGTAACAATTGTCTTGTTTTGCTGGTATCTCCAGGATCGACCGTCAACCAAGGTTCATGCTGCACCAGGCGGCGGGTCCTCTCTGGGTTACCTCTTTGGTAATGGTGGCGGTGGTAACTGATATTTCGTGTTATCATCAATCGATCGTAATACAACTAGCGTCTGTTGGTTTGAATTGGTGATTGGCGGAATGTTTGATGTGTAAGCTTCCAATGAAGCAATGTGTTTCATCTTTTCCATTATATTATATATATATAACTAATAGACCATGGATTGTGTCCTGTAATGTATATTCAAATTCAAATACTGTTTCAGAAATGTCCAATCAAGAAGGCAATGAAAGGATCATCCCTTTTAGTCACAGTATGAATCCTCATCATCTACTGTGGATGGCTGTTGCTTCCCTCTACTGTTCTCTCACGATTATTGTTCCTTGAATTGCTGCAATTCATAAGCAGCACTGCAGCAGTGTGTTGATGACTTGATGTCACTGAGATGGGGAAAAAATGAAAAATGCCTCTCTTGGATCCCTTTTAAAATAAAGGCAAAATACAGTTCCATAGCCAAAACTTTCACGTTTGTGCCAATAATAGCCACATTTGGCAAAATACCACTTATAGCCACCTTTTGAAAATGTTGTTGGACAAATATAGCCTTTTCCGTTAGAAACATTGACGGCGTTACTAACACCGTCAAATAAGCAGACGGTTTGCTGATTAGGCGAGAAGAACACTTCCACGTCAGCGCCAACTAAGCAAGTCTTGACACGTCATCTTGACACGTCATATATTCATTTATTAAAAATAAAAACTTATATATTACATTATTAAAAAAAAATCAGACTATATATTCCATTTCCATCGAAACCAATCCTTCAGCCCCTATTTTTGCCCGATACAAAAATTAGGGTTCCTCTCCCAAATTTCAAATTTCGACTCTTCTCCCCGAATCCTCAACTTTCCACTCTCCCCGATTCCTATACTAATCGATTCCTATTTCGGAATTAGGGTTCTTCCCCCAAATTCCACTCTCCATGAATCCTCTACTCCCTTCTGATCGAATCCTCACTCCCCTCCGCGATTCCGATTCCGATCGATTCTGTTCCGACTCGCAACGACGACGATTGCGACGCAACCCTCTCCTTCTCCTTTCGCGATTTCTCCTGCCCAGCACTTCAAGCGAGCTGCAGGCATGTCCAGGCGAATAGCTTCCTCAAGTTCGACTAGCACTCAGAGACTAGGCGTGGTACTCTGTTGGTGCAATAAGCCTTGTGTGGTCAAGACATCCGCCACAGAGTTAAACCCAGGCAGGCAGTTCTATGGGTGTCCTTTTTGGAAGGTAAGGTGGCGTAGACATGATTTATGCATTTTTGTGGTACTTGTGTGTGAGCTTTAGTCGCAAGTTGATCGTTGTAATGGTGCAGGACGAGACCAAGAATTGTCGCTTTTTTAGGTGGGTGCGACAGAATGCTGATGAAGATAAGCAAGCAAACTCTGAAAGTAGTTGTTCGATTCTGAAGCTCGAAGACAGTTTGCGTACAGCACAGTGTAAGGCTGAGAGGAGGAAGAAAGAGATGAAAATTCTGTCCGATGAGTTATCTAGATTGATGAAAGCACATGAGATTATGGTTGCTGAAGGGAGGAGGGTTGATCATGATATTCATGTAATTCGTTATCAGATCACTGTTATTGTCGTACTCAATTTGATAATGGTTGTTCTTCTATGGCACCACTTTCTGATGTAGAATGTTTTGTAATTTGACAAGGTTGTTTCGTATGTGTAAGAACCTGTTGGTAACATTTATGATCAATGTAGCTTTTGGTAAGACAATCTTCATTCCGAACTAACGGTGTTCCAATTACATACCCCCATTATAGAACATAGTAACCATAATCCGAAGTTTTCCAATTACATACCCCCATTATAGAAGTCGGTACACATAATCCGAAGTGTTCACAATCTGACCTAAAAGAACATACTTGGCCCTAACATACACTTGGCCCTAACATACAAGGCCATTACATGAGGGAACTTCTCAAAAGGCAAAATGCAGTTCCACCTCTAACTGATATAGCAAAATGAATACCCTAGCCTTTAGATACAAGGCCATCCCACGTCTAAGGTTGTGTTGGTGGTGGTTGGCTTCCACGCAGCTGGACCTCATCGTGCTGAGTGCCTCCAACAGCACGTCCCCTCGAGCCATTCAGCTGCATATCAGAAGAGAAAGTCATTAGTCAGTTTGCAATATAATGGACCAATCTTGTACATCAAATTGGTACACACGAATGCTTACTATGACGTATTGATTCCCTGTTTCCTCAGATACATAAACTCCAACTCCTCTAGTGGCAGTCCTCATCTCACGTTCAATAGTCCTCCGGTCACCAACATTGATATGAACAGCCTTCCAGTACATTGGCAAGGAAGGTAATTAACTTGAGTACACAATCCACGGTTATCTACAATCATTCTACAAGTTAACCTAATTTTATCAACTTACTTGAATACCAACTCCTCGATTTAGAGGACATGTTCTGGCATTGTGAGTAGTAGAACCACACTTGGAGCAATGTCCGATTCTAGTTTTCCGAGCTGTAGGTTCTGTATTTCCAGGATTTGGTGCGGCTGTTCTTGGTCTCTTTCCTCTACCTCCACCTACATTATTGTTAGCCTAGCAAAATGAACAACAAAATAACTATTTAGTGAAGCAGCAGGAACAAGGCACTATAGATAAATACATTTAAAATGAAAAGTACTTACAGCAGCAGCAGTAGGGGCAGCAGCAGGAGCTGTACACGTTCTCGCATTATGGCCTTCACCTCCACACTTCTTGCAATGCATCACTGACCCCCTTCTAACCACTTCCTCTCCTACTCCATTTCTTTGAGGCCTAACCTCGACTTCGTGAGCAGACTTTCTGCGATTCTTCTTCGGTCTACCAGGCATACTTCTCTGCTTAGGTGGGTGCACTGGATATCCTACGGCATCAGGCCAAGCTTGTCTACCGTCGAGACAAGGTATGCCATACTTGTACGCGTATTCAGCATTTTGTACAAGGTAGGTAGGATGAACATAACTGTCCACTTCCTTCCTCAAATGGGAAATGGCAGACACAGCATGGCAGCATGGAATGCCACTAAGTGTCCACCACCCACATGTGCAAGACTTGTCCTCTAAGTCAACAATATACCCTGCACCCCCGATCTTTACCTCACATTTGTCATTCAATGTCTGTCTCGCCGTGCACAACCTAGCCAAAGCTTTCTCCTTCTCTACCCTCTTCCTAATCCTAGGGCATAAGACATCAGTTGAATCTAGTAGCATCTTGTATTTCACGACAACCCTATCCATTACGTAGCCCCTTATTCCCTCTAACATGTATATGATTCTCATACATCTATACTTAACTATCACACCATTCCATGTTTCACATATATTTGATTCAACCGAATCGCACTTGGGAAGAGGAGACAAGTATGCTCGACAGAATGACCTAGGTTCTGCATTCATGAACTCAGTAAAGGGTGTGCCACCATGTTCCTCACCTTCAATTTCTTGCAGCTCAGAAGTCGCCTTCTTCCAGTCCACCTCGTTACATGAGTAAACTGCATTCCAAAATAGCTTTCGAGCACGGTCGGTCTTGTTTCTCACTTTCCAATTTGCATACACATGCCTTGCGCACTTTCTATGTTCTGCCTCTGGCAGAAGCTCATGAATGGCTTCTACTAAACCCTGCAATACATCAACATTGGTTTTAGAACATCCCATCATCATCCACTATATCTAAACCAAAAATAGGAAGCATATTATAGGAAGCATAATAATAAACTAACCTTTTGTTGATCTGAGATAACAAACCAACCTCTACCGTCAGCTAGGTGTAAATCCTGAGCTAATGTGTTGACGAACCACCTCCACGAGTTAGAATTTTCTCCTTCCACAACCGCCCACGCAATTGGATACATTTGGTTGTTGCTGTCCTTCCCAACAGCAGTGAGCAGCATACCCTTAATCTCTCCCTTCAAGAAACACCCGTCCAATCCAAACATTGGGCGACATGCTTCAAGAAAACCATCCCTCAAACTCGAAAAACCGATGTACATACGCTGGAAGTAGACCTTGTCTTGTGTAGGGTGTGGTTCAACCTCAAGCTTGAAAGTCCCGCTTCTATCACGCTTCACCAACTCGGCCAAATATGATCTGACTTTCTGGTACTCCTCTATAAGTGAGCCTCCCAACATCTTGATTGCTGCAAGTTTGGCTCTATAACACGTTCTTCGCTTCACCTCCATATTATGCTTTAGCTTAACTTCAGCCATAATCTGATCAGGAGCCCATTCAGGGTTAATTCTAAACCTCTCCAGCATATCACTAGCAATCCAGTGTGCAGTAACTTGGTTAACACGAAGCTGCCTTGCACAAGAATGAGGCAGACCAACCTTCCTAATCATGAAACTCTGATTGCGACGGAACCAACTAGCATAAAGCTTCAATTTGCAAGTCTGATCCTTGCATCTCACCTCCCTCCTACTTGGATTACTCCTAACCCATCTTAGACCAGCCCCAGCCGCTACAGAGTGACGAACAACAGCGGCCTTGAATTCCTCTACACTAGCAAACTTCATTCGAGGAACGAATTGGAAAAGCTTGTGGTCACATTGCGGATCATATTGCGGAGCATCGTCGAATATGTCCCTGCCATCCGAGTCAGACAGGTTAGGTCGAACATGGTTTGACTCTTCTGAAAGCCTGTAGCTTGAATGGTTTGAGTTTTGGCCCCTTGCTTCCTGGACATTCTCTGAATCATCAACATGAACCTCATCTTGGCGTTGTGAAGCACCAGGAGCTGCTCCCTCAGCAGCCAACCCATCTGTTTCAGAATCTTCTTCATCTGATCCTTCTTCCTCGAAATCATCAAGCTGCTCAACCTCCTCCCCATGGCCATCAACCCGGGCCTTTACCTTCCTCTTCTTCATCTCCCCATAAGCTCGCAGATTTGCCCTTGCTTCATGGTATTCGTCGTCACTTGTATCTGCATCATCTGAGTCGTATACGTGGTATATGTCTCGAGCAACAGAGGCCTCAACACCATCATCTGCAGCCAAGGATATATCTGATAAAACCACAGCCGCTGGATCGTTCTCCCCAAATGCTTCGTCCCAAGAATCAGCCATCTGTCATTCACGATTAAGATAAATTGTATTATAATCACCATTAACCACGTGATTATACAAAATAAACTGTATTTTACTCACTACCTAACAAATGGAAAACAACAACGAAAAACAGTATTCAATTCTAGGGTTTGTGGACAGCAATAGGAATTGACAAATCTAACCTAGTAGAATCGACCCACTCACCTTCAGTTATGGGGGCAAACTCGCCAAAAAAATGAATCCAGTGGTCCCTAGATGTCTCTGTCCTGTACCTCTCTCGCCTTTACAGCTCGCTACCAACCAAAAAAGATGAAACTATAAGAACCTTTCGACAAGCTTTCAGAATTCAATTGCAGCTATCAAACCCACAATAAAGAACCAAGAAAGTTTCCTTACCAGTCGCGACTGACGAGGGAGAGGACAAATCGGCTTCGAGGGAAGATTAGGGTTTCAGAGTACAATCGGTCGATTCCCACTTTCCTCCTAAGCATGCAGAAGAGAAGAAGCTTAGAAAGATTCGGCCAAAGCTCGGCGTCGATTAGTCAACCCATTCTCTGTTATGTTTCTCGAGGAAGGAGGCGGTAGGTTCACTTTCGGATTATCGAGGAAAATCGAGATTGGAGATGAGAAGGGTCTAGATTGATGGTGGCGGAAGGAATAAGGGGTTCGTCGGAGGGGGTTCGTCGGAGGGGGGGCGTCGGAGGTGGGGCGTCGGAGGAAGATGGTCTTCGTGGTGCTTCGTGCTCGTCGCCTTTCGAAGGAAGATGGGTGGGTGGTTTCAGAGAAAGAAGATAAGGTAAGATGGAAAAGTCGACCAAATGGTCGGTGGGTAGGCTATTTCGTGTTTTGTATTTTTTTTTTAATTATTCGCCACGTGGAAATCACTGGCGGTCCACGTAAGCTGCTCCGTTTGCCCAGTCACACTTAACGTTAACAGCGTTAAAGAATTGGACGGAGGTGGCTATAAGTGGTATTTCGCCAAATGTGGCTATTATTGGCACAAACGTGAAAGTTTTGGCTATGGAACTGTATTTTGCCTAAAATAAATGGACCCAGACGCCACGATTGAATAAGATCCAAAGTGCATTTGATCCAACTCTAACCCTTATCTTTGCTTTATTTTTTTTTATCCAATCTTGTATCTAATAAATGGGTTCCATTCTAACTTTTGGTTAGGTGTTGCATCCAATTTTCAGTTGATTTCCTTGGTGTTTTTGTTACAATCGATTTTGCACGATCAGTTCCGTTTAACTCTCCTCAGCTGCTGCAGAAGTCATGCTGTCGCGAGTAACGCAAAGCTTGAAGATGATGAACTGAAAATAGTAAAGATGAAAATGACAATTTCTATCTGTAACCGTATTTGTGTAAGCACATTTTTTCCGTACACTTTGAGGTCTTCAATTACAAACTTGCGATTTCCATCATAGACATAAGCTGAACCCAGCAAGCAATGAAGTCGACAAAACACATGAACGACCACATTCACAACCTCTATTCAATTCTCATCATGCTCCCTCAAACTTGGCAAAAGCAAACATCTGAAGCTTTTCTAATTAGGGGGCAGCAGGAGCAGGAATTATCCCCCAGTTTCTTCTCACATCCTCCAAGTCTTCGTCGAAGTGCTTCTCGTAGTATACACACATGAGATCTGTGCACTTCATTCCAGCAGTGTTAGCCCAAGGAAAGTAGTGCTGGAAGAACAGTTTCCTCTGTTTCTCGTTGAACCTCACTGTGCCCCCCACGACAGACATCAGGCACATTGGCAGGTACATCTGATGGAACTCTATCACCTTCAGCGCTGATTCGCCAATCAAGTTTGTGTGGAGACCGAAAAGGGCGTGCCAGAAGTCGTGCACCTCTCGAGCCCGTGTTGCGACGTACGCAAGTTCATCGGTCTCTATGAACCTCACTGGCGGACGATCGTCAGGCGAGAAATTTCTTGATCCCATGAATCTTGCGTAGGCTGCGCCAAATGTGTTCTCCGGTAGGTCCCATGCGTGCGCTACTTGTGATGATACTACACGTGGTCTCTCTGATAGCACTTCCTGTCGGAAATACACACATTGCCAGTGAAAATTTGGCAATAGTAAGAAAAGTTTTTCCCCCGGTTTCCTCAAAGTTACAAATAAAAAAGAATGTTCTGTGGCCAAGCTCCACATCTGTCTCATCGTTTCCTAGTAAATCATCTCATCTGAACCTTAGACTGCATAATGACTAATTAATAGCAACTATGATCATGATGAAAAAGATGGCTTCAACATTCTCTAGTGGTAACCTAGAGGCCACACAAACAACTTCTGAGGCTCATCACTGAACCGGCATTCTATCAAGAGAAAACCTTGGTTGTCATGACAACTAACCATTCGTCCGAAATGGTTCCAGGAAACCAAATAGCCTCTCACCGATTCATCCATTCTATATACTGGTCTCCTAAGAAAGCAAGTGCATTCCAAATTCTTTCGTTACCACGCAGTTGCATATACAAATGAAGTTCAATCAACTCAGCCAAGGTAAGTAAGTGTTCTGTTCAGAACCATATTGAACAAAGAAGAAGAACTCACTCTGCCTTCTGGGCTTCGCTTCATCCTCTCAAGAACTCTTTCGAAAGCAGGCTTCCCCGTGGTTTCACCGAGAGCTCCGATCAAATCCGCTCTCCGCGGGTCAAGCAATGCACCCACCGCCGATCCAACCGCAACCGCCGCCTGCTGCCACCCCTTCAACGGCACACGAGTACCTTGTATGATCATTTCTGCCGACTGCACTAATTCAAAACCCTAAAGCGCTAAAGAAGAAAATTTGGTTTCAGAATCGAACGTCCGACAACCGATCTTCCGCCTTCTCAAATCTCAATTTCCGATCGAAGAGATCAAGAAAGCGAAGTCTAACGACGAATTTCATTAGAAGAGGCCCAAAAAGTAGATTTGGCGTATCCCCATTTGCGACAGCCAGGTCCAGCAGTTCAGCCCATAATGAAACTCATGCTTAGCCCAGTAAAAACAAGCAAGCCCACAAACGAGTCCGTTGACAATTTGCTGGCGTCTTTCTTCTTTCGCCAGTCGCAGTCGGGGCAAATTCCACGTCCAGGCAAAGGCAACGGAACAACGGTCACATTTCGGCACGCTGGACCTGACACATTCGCCTTGGAGATGGATCCAGAGCTGTCAAAATGTAACCCGACCCGAGTAACCCGCCCGATCAATCCGATCCGCAACCCGCCCGCAACCCGATTTGACTAAAAGTCAATGACCCGTAACCCGCCCGACCCGCAACCCGACCAACCCGCAATCCGATCGACCCGCAACCCAATCGACCCGCAACCCGATTAACCCGCAACCCGACTAACCCGAACCTTTAACCCGACCAACCCGCAGCCCAACTATAATAGAAGGAATTCGATGAAGATAAACTATAAGTTGACATTGGAAATCCTAATTCACTAAAGTCTGATCATTACATCATTAATTATTAACTTAGTATAATAATATATATCATCAACCTATTAACGCATATAACATCATCAAATATTGATTTAGATACATCATCAACCTAATAGTCCACATAACATTATAAAATATTAGTTTAGCATAATAAGATAATTATAAGATTTAAAATCCAAATATCATGGTCCTATCATAAAAAAAGACTAATAATAATTCACAAAAGTCTGATCATAACAAGAATACATGACTCATAATAGTTCATATTGTCTCAAGACCTCAAATATCAATAAAACATGTCCAAAAAACAAGTTGACATTCCAAATGACGATCACTCTAGAAGCTTTACTTCTTCTCCATCATCCCTCGTATCTTCGTCATCTTCATCTGTACAATTAATCAGTGAAAAGAAAATAATAAGGAAAAGAGAACAGTTTATTCAGTACAAATATAACAATTTATTTTTTCTTACCCATTTGGTATCCTCGTATCCAATTACGAGTTGTCACAACAGCTTCAAGAGCTGCTGGGTACGTAAAACCATCTACACTTACTCATTTAATCACACCATGCTTTAAATCATTTGCTACCATCTTATCAATGTACTGAGAATGTTATTTTTGGATCTAGAGAGCATGAAAATGGGCATTTTTTAGCAGACCAAGGTTAACTGAAGACTAATAATGAGATTAAATTCCTAAATGCTACTAGAACAACCACTTTCATTCCATTCTAGTATGTAGCAGAGTATCTAACGAGTATGTAGGCAAATTTGGTGAGGTGTCATGCTTATTTGACATGTGGATGCATGCCAAAACTTAGGAGGCTCCTCTGCAAGACATCTATGTTAATAGTTAATATTTTTTTACAATGAAAAATGAATCCAACCCCTGTATTTCGATGCCATTAATCAAGAGGAAATTAAAGCTTCCCAACGAAACCACACACTACTACAAGCAGAGTTTCCATTAATTGAGAGGCAGAGGATAGAGGATTTAGAGAGCTAATCAGCGATTCAACCGCTGCTGTTGATGATTGGCGACTAACATTCGGACTTTTTCCAGAAATACTACTGTTTAAAAAAAGAATTCCAAAAATACCACCCAACTCCAAAAAATTTCAAAAATACCACCTTTTTCAAAAACCGCCACCCCACCCTGCGGTTTACACGAAAACCGTTTTTCGGGGGCGCGGTTTTCTATGCAAACCGAGGGGCTAAGGGGCGGTTATAAAAAAAAAATTGGACCAAACCGCTGGGTGGGGTGGCGGTTTGGCCCAAAACCGCCACCCAACCCAGCGGTTTGGTCCAAATTTTTTTTTTTCCGATCAACTCCTCACTTCGCGGCGCCGTTCTTAATTAAACAACATCCTTTCCTTGTCCCGCGATGTCGTTGAGCTTTTGAGCTTCGCGACACTGTTTTAATTTTAACACTGTCGTTTTAACTGTTGCGGCATCATTTGGCCTACTCGCGGTATTGTTTTATAATCCGCGGTGTCGTTTCTTTCCTCTTGCGGCATCGTTTTCAACTAAACGACACCGTCCTAAATAATCATTAACAATATTAGTGAATTAATCCGGCCATCACTAGTCAAGCTCGTGTGTTGACCAACGACATCATTAGCGCCAAAACGGCTCTGTTTGCCTTTCCCTTCGCGACATTGTTTTTTATTTAAACACTGTCGTTTGCTAATCCGCGGTACTGTTGGGCTTACTCACGGTACCGTTTTGAATTAAACGACACCGCTGATATAGCCAAAAATATTAATCCATGGACCCGCCGTCAGTCGGCGCTCGCATTGGGCTGGGTGAACTTTGGTCACTTACCCGATATGATGTTTTAATTAATCGGTACCGCTTACCAGGCTCTCGCGGCATCATTTTTAAATCTGCGGTACCGTTTTAACTCTCCGCGATACCGCTTATCTCCATGCGGTACCGATTTTCCCCTTCCAACAAGGAATAAAGATAATAATTAATTATACACAAAAACTCCTTCCCCGACACCTACACTAAAACGCGCGGCCCCTTTTCTTTTCTAGCGGTGTCGTTTTCTGTGTCGCGGTACCGCTGAGTTTCCTTGCGGTACTGCTTTTCTGTTTCGCGGTATCGTTTTAACTCTCCGCGACACCGCTCGACTCCACGCGGTATCGCTTCTCCCCTTCCGACAAGGAATAAATAAAATAAAATACTCCTTTCCAACACCAATGCTACACACGCGGCCCACCTCTTGTTTTCCGGCAAACAGTGTCGTTTCCTGTGTTGCGGTACCGCTGAGCTTCCTTGCGGTACCTTTTTTATTTCGCACTATCGTTTTAACTCTCCGCGATGCCGCTTGTCTCTATGCGACACTGTTTTTTACCTGCAATATCGAATTAAATGCCGAGACTAATTACTGCGGCATTTAGTTCCGGCCAACTTAATTTTAGGTGTCAACAAATGCTCCCCACAATTTGGTTTATAAGAATTATGAAACAAATTGTTGACAAAATCCATAACACCTAAAATAATTTTAATTTAAACCACCAATCCACCAAAAATTGGTGGAAATCTTTTGGCCTATTTTTCCTTTTTAGCAGGCCTGCATAGCCGCCTCGACCACACATGTTTTTTTTACTTTTTTCATTACTTTTTTTTATATATTAGAGCTGCTTGGCCGCACACTACTCCTTTTGTCGACATAGCTGTTAGACTCCAACAACAGCCGCGACATTGCTTGGCCGCAGCGCTGAGAGATATTTTATTTTATTATATTTTATACCATTGCGGCCACGCTTAGGACCTCTAGCAGCACTGTTCATCATCCAAACAATCCCGTTTTTTTTCCTTCTTCTTTTTCAATTCCTCATCAGCGCTGTTTTGGCCGCTCTCTTTTTTTTGGATGGTATAATATAATAGTCATTTTGCTTCCGCAACACCGTGCCCCCCAACAATGTTGTTGATATGAAAAAAAAAAATAAAGCGGCACCACTGCTACGTGGCTTAGGCAAAAATGGCCATGTTTGATCATTATTTCCTAATCAACCATTATCAAAGAAAATTAAAACTAAAGCCATGTTTAATCTTGGTCGATATTGTGACTATCTCGACAACACAGTAATTGACAGACCATATTTAACAACTCTGGCTTAAAGAAAACAAACCATTTAGCCAACACAACCATACACCAACAGCCTTGACTAGGTTAATGCAATGCCGATGGCATCTACGTAGCTCAGTCATGCATGAATCTAAAATAAAAAGCGATAAACTGGCTATACAACATGATTGCAACATATCCATGTTATATTTCCTAAAATTCACACGTAAAACAATCTTTGAAGCCATTCAGAATTAGAGTTAACTCGTACCTGTCAGAGTCATGCAAGCTGGCAACATGAACGTTGAATGTGGATCATCCTTCCCGCCAAAGTTGATTTCTTTCACAATGTCGCAGACAGCACCGCTGCTTCCTCTCCCAACTTGTTACTCGCATCCTCGCCGTTGATCGGCAACCCCTCTATCAAGGCCGTGATTTCGGCCTTCTCCACCCTCTCTTGAGGTGGCTTACTCTGATTTTGGTGGACCACCTAACGCACGCATTGATGGTCTCACAATTTCAGACAAGTGGTTCAAGCAAGCCTTACTCAACACTCTCGCGCTTGAAACTATGACGTTGGACGTTCCTCCATCCCCACTCCTGATTTCGGGTGGTCCAAAATCTCCATGGTACAAATAAGCTTCAGCCACGTTGGCCCCAACGACAAACGGCTTTGTGTCAGCCTATACCACCTCACCAACACCGTCTTCATTCCAGATCATCAAACACTGATGCAGCGATGAAGGAATGCACTTGTTGGCGTGGATCCAATCCCGACCAAGTAGTGCGTTGTAGCTTATCATTCCATCCACGACGAAAAAGCAGTCATCCGCTTCTGTGATCCAACTCCCACGACCACCGGGAGGATTCCCTGTGCAGAAGTGGACCCGCCATTGAAGCTTATCACAAACACTTGCGTTGGGATCAAGTCATTAGTGCTCTTGCCCAACTTCTTCAGCATCCTTGTTGGCATCACATTCACTGCGGCGCCATTGTCAACTAAGACTCTCGACATTGGTACGTCGTCAAGTGTGGCTTTGATGTAGAGAGGCCTCAAATGACGCATCATCTTCGGCTCGGGCTCGTTGAAAACAACGACCCTGTTCAATTCTTCACCCGTGGCTCCTTCGTCCACGGCTTTCCCTTTCGCTTCTGCAGTCTGGATAGATTTCTCCAGCTCGTCGAAGTCTGATCCCCATGTGATGTTCTCCACCGGCACACTTGTTGACTCTTTCGGGCCTTGATATAACACGTAAAAAGGATATCTTCCCCCATCTTCGCCCAGTAGCCCAACAGCTTTGTGGCCTGCTTCGTACAGCTCTTTCAGGATTCGCTGCGAACTCTTATTTTGCTTGGCTGACTCTACTGCCAAGTCAATTCGAGCATTAGTGCGAGCCATCATTGCACTCCACGGCTCAGCCTCGATTGGCAGATCCGCAGACTCGCCAACCAGCTCTGCAGCCGCTGGCTCCTCATTCTCCTCCTCTAAAGTTAGTTGAGCAAAACCGCTCACCAGCTCAGCGACGTTGACCTCTTGAGCAGCCTCGTCCAACTCCTCAACCTCCATCACGAGTTCACGACCTCGCCATCCTCTCCCTGATTTTCCAAATCAATGTGGAAAATCAAAGGCAAGATGTAGTTGTTCACCACCACTGGTGGTAGACTCCCAAATTGGATCGTCACGGGTGCACCTTGGTTGTCATCATCGTCATCCTTGTTTTTTCGATCGAATTTCGACTTCGGCTCCTCCAATTCCAGCATCTCCTCTTCGATGAGGGAGTCATCCAACTCAGCATCGTACTCAGCTTCTCCCGGGACTCCCTGATCGTTCCCGTCCAGGTTGTCCTCGACAACTTTTCCAGCACCGGCCACAGTCACTCTCAGACCCGTGGCAGAGTTGTCTACATTCACATTTGCTTGCAAGTTGGCAATCCTCCTTCCTTGAGCATTCTTGCGGAGGTACCTTCGATACTGCGTCCTTGTCATCCCGTCAACCGCGATGGGCTGCTGACGACGGACGTCGTAGGTGTGCCAACCACCCCGTGGCACATTTGGCATGCTGAAGGTTCTCCTGACAGGTGGGGGAGCTCTCACCGGTTGGGCAAGTCCAAAAGGTAGACTTTTGAAAGGCGGGGCACTTTGAGCAACCCACTGCCTACGCTGCCCTCTTCCCCACGCAGGTGCACGTACTCCTTCGACGCTGCGTTCATATGAGGAATACCTCGGTTTGAACTGTTGTGGTCCCAATCTCTGGTGGACCGACTGGTTCGGTCCCGCTCCCCCAATGTTTAGCTTTCCGCGACACTGGGCACACAACTTCTCCTCCTCAGCTGGGTCCAAGCGTGGCCCCTCCTGCACTTCGGAGGATGAAGCACCCTGGGCCACATCAGAACTACCACTCGGCGGCGGTGATGTATCCACCACCAACTTGAAGCGTGGCAGGTTGATCTTAGAGAAATCGGGATTGACCATGTGTAACATCCCGTTCCGGCAAAACCCATATCTCGATCGCTAGAAAGTTCGCGATTTAAAATCGAGAGTTTCGATATTATTTCGATGAAAATCGGATTATCAATCGATCGGATAAGTATACGTATTAATTATCAATCGATCGGATAAGTATACGTATTAATTATATATATAATATATAATTATATATATATATATATTATATATGTACAAGCGGTCACAGACCACTTATATAAACTTTTCCGCTGTCCATTAATTCCCATCATCGTAATCATCTTTTTCCATTTTCTGGACCGAGAGCAGAACGAGCAGAGGGCGCTCAGGGCATCGCGAGGGGAAATTTTCACAGCTTAATTCTTGAGCTCTAACAATCCAAAAATCCCGTAAGTGATACTTAATTCCTCAATACATAGTAATTTATTAATTTAGAGCTTTAAAACGAGTTTTTGAATCAGGAATTTCTTGAGTTTCCGATCGAAGAAATTAGGGTCTCGGAGTATCCGGAAGCCGGATTAAGCCCAAATTTTATATACGAGCTTCCTGCAGCGAGGTAATCAATCCTCTAGTTCTAATCCCTGAATTTTGGCTACTATTTAGGTCGGAGCCGGGATCGCTGAATTTAGCTCCGGCCAAGGTTTGATGTGTTTTTATCGAGAATTTGACCCGGAGCCTAGAACTAATATTGACGGGGATACTGCAGGGGATATTAGGACAGTCTCGGATTTTAATTCGGGGTTCGTTAGTGAAATTCACGTTTTAGTACGGGAAGGTTAAACCGGTGTTTGAACGACCAGAACTGGTGAGGGATTAGCACGGCATACCGGGTTTGTCGTATCACGATAATTATACTTATGCTTAGAATTGATCTGGGTGAACTAGAATGACATGATTAGGGGTGTATGAACTTTTGTGCTATATGTTGAACCCTGGACTGTTGTATGATATTATTGACTTGCCCTAATCGATATGGACCTTATTTATGCTGATGATTGCATACATGTTGCCATTTGTGGCTTAATTGTTGATATGACTTCATGGTTGTTTGATCAGGTGTTTTGACATGATGTGATATTATGGTTGTATTTGGATCCATAAGTGGGGGAATAAACTTCACAGGGTGATATTATGATGTTTAAGGAGGATGACTTGCACGAGGGTTTATCCCGAGGAAGTGCAATTATACGACTCCTGATTTACCTATGTTGAGCCAATTATGGCCAGGTCAAGTACATGTACAAGTAACGAATTATGAGTAAGCAAGATGAGATATGGATTATGTATAAGATTACCAAATAAGAGTGATTTGGTCTCATGGTCAATTACATAGTAATTAGGGCTCCCCATGCTATTACTCCGTTATGATATGTTATGTCACACCCCTGATGTGGTGTTGACCGTTGATTCATCATGAGATATGACCACACCCAGAGTGGTGTTGAGTCCGATATGAACACACCCATAGTGGTGTCAGGTCCGATATGACTACACCGGCAGTGGTGGGTCCGATATGACCACATCCACGAGATGTTTGGTCCGTATTCCCGGGAGAGTAATTAGCATGGGAGTAGCCAGGCGCCTATAAGTAAAACATGATAAGACGCATATGCATAAGTCAAGGTGGTTGAGTCTTTTGCCCATTGGGACATGAGGATGGCTGAGGTCCGATCCTAGTGTTTTGGCTTGTTTGCTAGATGTATGGTAGGGGTATGCTCTGTTATGAACTCACGATGCTATGATTATCTCACTCAGCTATGAGCTGACCCTCTTTTATTCTTCTTCTCTGCTTATGCTATGTGTAAGCAGATCATCAGCAGCAGCAGTAGATAAGTGTTAGGTGGGAGAGGAGCTAGAGTTGAAGCCAAGATGAGGTATGGTCTTCAACTATTCTGTGCTTGGACTACTACTCGGGATTTTGGCCAGTGATCCACACCTTTTTGTAAAATGTTTTGAGAACGTTTTTCATGTGCATACTAGCTTCTGATGTAGTGTGAGATATCCACAGGTGTGGAAAGTTGATGATATGTGTATGTTGTGTAACTGTGTAAGTTGTGACGATTATGGTATGTATAAGTATGGTATGTAGGGTTGGAGTATGAAAAGTGTGGTTATGGCTAAGAAAAGCCAATGCATATGGTTGTGAGTATATATGTTTGTGATGAATTATTTTGCAGGATAAGTTGCAAGAACTGTTAGCCCATTACGCGAGTAATTCATGTCGAAATTTTATTTTGGTAAATTTTGATAATTAATGTAACACCCAAGATAAATTCCGCTGCAATTGTATGAACAATATGATTAGGTAATACGTACAGGGTAGGGTGTTACAGTTTGGTATCAGAGCTGGTTTGTTTTCTGCATTATGGGTATGTTACTTCCACTCTTGAGGACTGATCACCCTCAGAAGGGGAGGGAGTACTCCATACCTGTATTTGCACTTAACTTTCCAGGATTGAGACCAAAGGTGATCATGTGTTGCATAGTCAGTTGCATATGGTCAAACATGATTTTGAGTATTTGAAGGAATCTTGAAAATTTTATGGTTTAAGAGATTTTTGAAAATATGTGGAGTTTTTATCTTGTTGTCCAAGTAATGATTTTGAAGAAAGTTTTGTTTCAACCAAGTGGTGTGTGGATCAAAATAAGGCCAATGTTTCCTTGTAGTTTGCACAGAAGTACGTTTAGTGTTACTACTAACCCGTCGAGAAGCATGGTGGCTAGCTATGCAATGCAGTTGATCTTCGACTATGCTAACATGACGAGTTGTTGTGGTAGAGTTTTTAATATGGATATGATTCTTGATGTTGGGGTGGCTAACATTTTCTAGGTTACCAATCTTGCTTAGTAAGTTATGTTTTGAACTTGTTGATGTGCTTTTGTTGTGATAACCCGATATAGGTTTTTGAAACCTTATATTGGGAACTTGAGGTGTTATGTGTTTAGTTATGTACTTCAGATCTCCTAACCTAAGAGTTAGGTAATAACCTTAGGTACGATCGATCATGTCAAGAGTAAGTAAGCGGAGTAAGGGTACAACTCAAGGTTAGATTTCGGGGACGAAATCTTTTTAAGGAGGGGAGAATTGTAACATCCCGTTCCGGCAAAACCCATATCTCGATCGCTAGAAAGTTCGCGATTTAAAATCGAGAGTTTCGATATTATTTCGATGAAAATCGGATTATCAATCGATCGGATAAGTATACGTATTAATTATATATATATATATAATTATATATATATATATATATATATATATATTATATATGTACAAGCGGTCACAGACCACTTATATAAACTTTTCCGCTGTCCATTAATTCCCATCATCGTAATCATCTTTTTCCATTTTCTGGACCGAGAGCAGAACGAGCAGAGGGCGCTCAGGGCATCGCGAGGGGAAATTTTCACAGCTTAATTCTTGAGCTCTAACAATCCAAAAATCCCGTAAGTGATACTTAATTCCTCAATACATAGTAATTTATTAATTTAGAGCTTTAAAACGAGTTTTTGAATCAGGAATTTCTTGAGTTTCCGATCGAAGAAATTAGGGTCTCGGAGTATCCGGAAGCCGGATTAAGCCCAAATTTTATATACGAGCTTCCTGCAGCGAGGTAATCAATCCTCTAGTTCTAATCCCTGAATTTCGGCTACTATTTAGGTCGGAGCCGGGATCGCTGAATTTAGCTCCGGCCAAGGTTTGATGTGTTTTTATCGAGAATTTGACCCGGAGCCTAGAACTAATATTGACGGGGATACTGCAGGGGATATTAGGAAAGTCTCGGATTTTAATTCGGGGTTCGTTCGTGAAATTCACGTTTTAGTACGGGAAGGTTAAACCGGTGTTTGAACGACCAGAACTGGTGAGGGATTAGCACGGCATACCGGGTTTGTCGTATCACGATAATTATACTTATGCTTAGAATTGATCTGGGTGAACTAGAATGACATGATTAGGGGTGTATGAACTTTTGTGCTATATGTTGAACCCTGGACTGTTGTATGATATTATTGACTTGCCCTAATCGATATGGACCTTGTTTATGCTGATGATTGCATACATGTTGCCATTTGTGGCTTAATTGTTGATATGACTTCATGGTTGTTTGATCAGGTGTTTTGACATGATGTGATATTATGGTTGTATTTGGATCCATAAGTGGGGGAATAAACTTCACAGGGTGATATTATGATGTTTAAGGAGGATGACTTGCACGAGGGTTTATCCCGAGGAAGTGCAATTATACGACTCCTGATTTACCTATGTTGAGCCAATTATGGCCAGGTCAAGTACATGTACAAGTAACGAATTATGAGTAAGCAAGATGAGATATGGATTATGTATAAGATTACCAAATAAGAGTGATTTGGTCTCATGGTCAATTACATAGTAATTAGGGCTCCCCATGCTATTACTCCGTTATGATATGTTATGTCACACCCCTGATGTGGTGTTGACCGTTGATTCATCATGAGATATGACCACACCCAGAGTGGTGTTGAGTCCGATATGAACACACCCATAGTGGTGTCAGGTCCGATATGACTACACCGGCAGTGGTGGGTCCGATATGACCACATCCACGAGATGTTTGGTCCGTATTCCCGGGAGAGTAATTAGCATGGGAGTAGCCAGGCGCCTATAAGTAAAACATGATAAGACGCATATGCATAAGTCAAGGTGGTTGAGTCTTTTGCCCATTGGGACATGAGGATGGCTGAGGTCCGATCCTAGTGTTTTGGCTTGTTTGCTAGATGTATGGTAGGGGTATGCTCTGTTATGAACTCACGATGCTATGATTATCTCACTCAGCTATGAGCTGACCCTCTTTTATTCTTCTTCTCTGCTTATGCTATGTGTAAGCAGATCATCAGCAGCAGCAGTAGATAAGTGTTAGGTGGGAGAGGAGCTAGAGTTGAAGCCAAGATGAGGTATGGTCTTCAACTATTCTGTGCTTGGACTACTACTCGGGATTTTGGCCAGTGATCCACACCTTTTTGTAAAATGTTTTGAGAACGTTTTTCATGTGCATACTAGCTTCTGATGTAGTGTGAGATATCCACAGGTGTGGAAAGTTGATGATATGTGTATGTTGTGTAACTGTGTAAGTTGTGACGATTATGGTATGTATAAGTATGGTATGTAGGGTTGGAGTATGAAAAGTGTGGTTATGGCTAAGAAAAGCCAATGCATATGGTTGTGAGTATATATGTTTGTGATGAATTATTTTGCAGGATAAGTTGCAAGAACTGTTAGCCCATTACGCGAGTAATTCATGTCGAAATTTTATTTTGGTAAATTTTGATAATTAATGTAACACCCAAGATAAATTCCGCTGCAATTGTATGAACAATATGATTAGGTAATACGTACAGGGTAGGGTGTTACACCATGTTGACGCCGACAACGTTTGGGAACGGGTCTGTGTCAACAATCATGGCCTCCTTTCTCGGCTCTGGGAACTTGAACCGACCTTTCCCAATTGCATCCTGCACAACGTTGCGAAACACAACACACATGTTAGTTGAATGAGATGCACTGTTGTGCTATTTACAGTATCGTTTCCCTTTTAATTTTTCAGCTGGCGGGATAGTATGCCCCCCAGTCAACTTAATTTGACCATCTTTGTAAAGTTGGTCGAAAATCAGTTATGATTTTGAGACATCAAAGGAATATTTTCTAGTTTGAATCGGAGCACGATTGGGCTTTCCACCTTGTGGTTCCCCATCGGCCTTGGCTAGAGAAGCACACACATATGGCTTCCCTTGCACAATCTCGGCCAAATCAACTTCAACCTCGTCAACATCGCTGCCGACGTTATTCACACCATAGTTTTCAAAATTAGGGAAATATTGTCCGCGAAAGCCACTTCTCTTATGTTCTTCTTCATGGAGAAGAGATTCATATCTAACAGCGCAGGACATCAATTGAAACAAATCAGAAAACTCCCTATCTTGAAACTTTTTACGAGGCTTAATTGCAAGTTTGGTCACTCGAATTACTTAAAAATTTCACGTTTGCCACTGAAATTAGTTTATTCCATCCGTAGTCACTTAAATTAGGTTAACAGTTCAAGTTTAGTCACTGGCCGTTAGTCTCCGTTAACTTTTGCTGATGTGGCGGTCAACTCTTATAGTTGACCGTTAAATGAGTGACGTGGCAATTTAAAAAATAATAAAAAATAATTTTTTTATTTTCAACCTAATTATTATAAAAAAAATAAAAAAAACTAATTACTCTAATTATTATTCTCCACCGCGCCAGATCGTCGTCGTTCCTCTCCCATCCGATCGTTGCACGCATGTTTCTATATATGCATCTCATCACCGTCTACCCTTGACCTAACTCCAAGTAGTGGAATGGCGGCGGCGACGACAACAATTTCTTTATCCAACAACGGAATCCCTTCCGACACGGTAATCAAAATTTTGACTCGGCTCTCCTCCGCCTCCGTAGTCGCCAGATGCCGCTGCGTCTCCAGATCGTGGCGCTCCCTCCTCTCCGACCGGGACTTCCTCAAAATCTTCATGTTCAATGGTCCTCCTCCGCCGCACCCCGGCGGCAATCGTAATAAAGTCATGATCATCCGCCTACTCAACGAAAAAATCGTCCTGGGAGACTCTCTCCACTCCGCCGACACCCTAATGGCCCCGATCTACGTCGCCCCGAAGATGCAAGTAACCTGTTAGTTGATGCAACCACGACCACATGCCCTGAAGATGCGGAAGAGGGCTTAATCGCATCGATTAGTGCACAGAGATGAGAGACTAAACGGACATTTTGCTCTCTACTGCAAATAAGGCTAACTTTAACATCAGCTCTGAGAACAAGGAGGAAGGTTAAGTAAAAATCCCTTACTTTTCTGATGAACCCAACCCAAAATAATTAATCAGTTGTGGGGCGTACCTAATCACCATTGTAATGGGGAGAGAGATGCATCCCAAGAGAATCCTATTCAAGCTCTATGCAGCAGAATTAACCCTGTAATCTCCATTCCTCAATCCTCCCCTGAAACCAAAACAAAATCTCATTAGCATCGAGTCACTGAACCCAACCAAGTTCAAGCTTCAATTGGTGGCTGCATTCCTCTGCTTCTGCGCCGCTACGTGGTAACAAAAACAAGGATTCAGAACTCTGCAGCGAAGAAGACGTACATAATCCACATGGACAAATCCACCATGCCCGAAACCTTCGACGACGACAACCGCGAACAATGGCACGGTTCATCTCTCAAAACCGCATCGGAATCAGCCGACATGCTCTACACTTACATCACGCTCATCCACGAATTCTCCACGAGGCTCTCTCCAGAGGAAGCAGAGTCGCTCGAGAAATAGTGACCGGAGGGGAGAGGAAAGGCGATGATCTCGCTGGCGGTGGAAAATAAAATTAGGTGAAAAATAAAATTAATTAAATTTTATTATTTATTATTTTTTTAATTGCCACGTCACTTATTTAACGGTCAACTATAAGAGTTGACCGGCACATCAGCAAAAGTTAACGGAGACTAACGGCCAGTGACCAAACTTGAACCGTTAACCTAATTTAAGTGACTACGGATGGAATAAACTAATTTCAGCGGCAAACGTGAAATTTTTAAGTAATTCGAGTGACCAAACTTGCAATTAAGCCCTTTTTACGAAGTTCAAAATTCAATCCACCCTGGGCCAGTTTAACAAACTCGCGTTCTGTCAAGTTCAAAAAACAGCGATTTCTTGCATTTTTAAAGTTTGTTAAGAAGTGTTCCACTGTTTCTCCTAGCTGTTGGCGCATTCGTGCCAAGTCTGCTATTGTTACTTCTGGCTCAGAACGGTAGAACTGGGCATGGAACATTTGTTCCATTTGCTGCCAAGTTTGAACCGAGTTCGATGGCAAGTTGACGTACCACGCGAATGCAGGGCCGGTCAACGAGTTGCCAAACAAACGCAACTTCAAGAAATCACTCACATCACCACACTGAACCGTGAATCGTCCAACATGCTCGACGGTGGACTGATCCCCAGTCCCGCTGAAGGTGATGAAATCAGGCACGCGAAAACCACGTGGAAAGGGGTAGTATCTATCAACCCAATTCGGATATGGTTTTCGATACACCAGCGACATCGCTGGTCTAATCCCTAAACCAAACTGATCCGCCAGCATCTGTGCTACCTGATCTCGAATCACATTAATGTCTTGCCCCCCGAGTTGCCCCCCTTGTGGTACGAATCCACCAGGATCCATGCCAAGCCCATTTGGAGGAGGAGGCACGTTTTGTGGGTAGCCGCGTGGCGGAACATGATCATTGTTGATCGTTCCTCCACCACCAGCACCGCTCATCGGAGCCACGTAGGGTCTGGCCTCCGGAATATTTTGTGGACCCACATTGTGCACTGGTGGCGGCTCAACACGAGTGTTAGCCGCAGTGCTGGTCTCGCCAGGATTTACTCTCGACGGACTTGTTGGGTTCAACACCGGTGTCGGCGAAACGACCTGTCTCGGCTGAGCATCTCGGCCGCCATTGACCGGAAAGGTGCCAGTGTCTTAGTGTAACGGATTCTCGCCGCTTAACGGCAAAGCCCTTGTTTGCGGCACTGGCCTATTCAAAAACTCTCTAAAGTCATTAAAATCACGTCTGTTACTTTCAAAATCCATTCTGTTTTTATCTACGACCTCAACTAGGTGGCTAACACGTCTATCAATCCGAGAGCTAAGACCATCAAGACGTCCATCCAAAGAGGCTAAGTGAAGTTTTTCTTGTTGGTTATCAGCCATGACTTGGCAAAGCATGCGTGTTATCTCACCCTGGTCGGCAATTTGCGCCACTACTGGCACTTCCCCTCCGGCGTCGTTGCTCGAGCCGCCGTTTGAACCGCCACTCTGGTCAGTCTCTACATTGACCATTGGCTCTTCCTCCACTGAAGTTGGTGGAAGATCGCCCTCGTGATTCTTCCATCGCGGAGCCATTCGAACACACGTGTCCCACTAGGTGTGCCAATTTGTTTCGTTGGCGAAACTCGCGTGTTCAATGCGCACTGTTTTCAAGTAAACACAAAACACAACGTCAATCACAACCGTCAAATATCCGCCACCGAAGTCGGCGTCGTTGATTTGATCGATCGAACAGAAACAAAGACGACCATCAAATATCCGCCGCCGAAGTCGGCGTCGTTGATTTGATCGATGCACCTTTGACTTCTAATCAAACAACCGTTATTCGGTTCACCACCTCTCCAAACTACGTTCGAACGAGGGTGTTCGGCGAATAACCAGAAAATCGAACCAAGAGTGTTCTAAGTTACGTTACCTCTACTCCTATGGAGGTTCCTCTGGAGAGCTCCGCAACTACGACTACGATCTACGACTACTACGACTCTGCAAAGGAGGTCTTTGACAGAGAAGTTCTACAAACTAGAGAGAAAAAGATAGATTCTGCGACGGTGCAGTTTGTGATTTGATTTTGCCGTCTCTAGCTTCTCTCTCTTCCCGATCTTTATACCCGGCTCTTCTCCCCGTAGTCGTAGTAACTGCCTTCGCGCCTTTGTCTCCCACGTTCTTCATTCCTGTCAACCGTGCGGGTAACTTCCTCCTTGTTGCGTAACTCCCATGAGTGCGAAACCGCGCGGAAACTTGGCCAAAACGACTCTGAACTAAAATCCACAATTGCTGAACTCTCGCCACTACGACGTTGTTTTCCATTAAACAACATCGTTTCGGTACCGCGGCGGTGTTGATATCTCCCACGGTGGCGTTTCTTTCCTCTTGCGGCATCGTTTTCAACTAAACGACACCGTCCTAAATAATCATTAACAATATTAGTGAATTAATCCGGCCATCACTAGTCAAACTCATGTGTTGACCAACGACATCATTAGCGCCAAAACGGCTCCGTTTGCCTTTCCCTTTGCGACATTGTTTTTTTTATTTAAACACTGTCGTTTGCTGATCCGCGGTACCGTTGGGCTTACTCGCGGTACCATTTTGAATTAAACGACACCGCTGATATAGCCAAAAATATTAATCCATGGAGCCGCCGCCAGTCGGCGCTCGCATTGGGCTGGGTGAACTTTGGTCACTTACCCGATATGATTTTTTAATTAATCGGTACCGCTTACCAGGCTCTCGCGGCATCGTTTATAAATCTGCTGTACCGTTTTAACTCTCCGCGATACCGCTTATCTCCATGCGGTACCGATTTTCCCCTTCCAACAAGGAATAAAGATAATAATTAATTATAAACAAAAACTCCTTCCCCGACACCTACACTAAAACGCGCGGCCCCTTTTATTTTCCGGCGGTGTCGTTTTCTGTGTCGCGGTACCGCTGAGCTTCCTTGCGGTACCGCTTTTCTGTTTCGCGGTATCGTTTTAACTCTCTGCGACACCGCTCGACTCCACGCGGTATGGGTTCCCCCGTTCCGACAAGGAATAAATAAAATAAAATACTCCTTTTCCAACACCAATGCTACACACGCGGCCCACCTCTTGTTTTCCGGCAAACAATGTCGTTTCCAGTGTTGCGATACCGCTGAGCTTCCTTGCGGTACATTTTTTATTTCGCGGTATCGTTTTAACTCTCCGCGATGCCGCTTGTCTCTATGAGACACTGTTTTTTACTTACAATATCAAATTAAATGCCGAGACTAATTACTGCCGTATTTAATTCCGGCCAACTTAATTTTAGGTGTCAACAGAATTTCAGTAAGATAGACTACGGCGACGACGAGGAAGAAGACGATAATGATGGTGATGGAGAGGGTTTCGGGACGTTTGTTGTGAAATCGACGTTGAGTGGGACGGTAGTGAGGAAGAGTGGGGATACTGGAGGAAGTGGTAGTGGATCAACTATGGGGAGAGCGGTGGCGAGCATGCAGGCAGTTGGGGATTTAGTGTTTGGGAAACAGAAGAGGAGGAGTGGTTCATTGTCTTCGCAGGGTGATGAGTACAAGCACCATCAGCACACTAAAGTATCTGCAAGCTTGATTCCAGAGAGTGTGATAAGAGAAGATCCAACGACTAAGTATGAATTGCTCAATGAACTAGGTGAGTGTGATGACTAAAATGTCAGAAGTTTCTTTCTCCTTTTTGCAAGCTTTGCTCGGGGAACTTTGAGTCTTCTGTATTTGTACCATTAAGATTCAAAAGATCTAAGCAACTGAGAACTGCCCTTTGTTTTCTCTGGTTTTACTGGTGCAAATAGAAGCACCAAGCTGCTCTTAGGATAATCTATGCACTTTTGCATCTGATCAGGCCAGTTATGCAACATGCAATTTCCATTCTCCTAGATTTCCTGTTGGGCCTAAGCACTTAAATTCATGCTATTCAATTTGCAGAATTTGACTTCTTCGGGTACCAGGGAAGGGGTCATATGGAGCTGTTTACAAAGCAAGGGATTTAAGAACCTCTGAACTTGTCGCAATCAAAGTCATATCATTATCTGAGGGAGTGAGTACATTCTTGATTGTCTATATTTATGCTATTTTGATGTTTTGGGATGAATGAATGAGATGTTGATTGTTCAGGAAGAGGGTTATGAAGAAATTCGTGGTGAAATCGAGATGTTGCAGCAGTGTAGCCATCCAAATGTTGTGCGGTACCTAGGGAGTTATCAAGGTGAAGAGTATCTCTGGGTATGAAATTCTTCACAGTTCGAGTTGGCATTAAGAGTATTGTTCAGTGCACTTCTAAATGTGTCACCTATCCTCGATCCATCATTTATGAATTATTTTCTTTTGCAGATAGTTATGGAGTACTGTGGAGGGGAAGTGTTGCTGACTTAATGAATGTCACTGAGGAGGCGTTGGAGGAGAATCAGATAGCATACATATGTAGAGAAGCTATAAAGGTATTGTTTTCAGTTGTAACTGGTTTCCAGAATGTATACTTGTCAGGGCTCTCGACTTTTCTTGCAGTTATCATTTTATATTGTTGAATCCTACCTTGATACCAACCTTTACCATTTCCAGATACACATGACTTTGTTAAGTTTTAGAGTTTGTGTTCTGGCAATATACTCAGTCATACCGATTCTCTTTGATTTGCAGGGCCTTGGTTATTTGCATTCAATTTTCAAAGTGCATAGAGATATCAAAGGCGGGAATATTTTACTTACTGAACAGGGAGAGGTCAAGCTGGGTGAGTATACTTCCCCCTGTAGTTCTTCATACAGAAATTGAGTTATAGGTTCGCCCAATATCCAAACATGTGGTTCTGATTCAGAATATTCAGAAAGTACGATAGACTTAAGGCATTGCACAGAAAAAGTTTTTATATCCTAGCTTTTAGGAATTAGCTCAGTTTCTTGTCTTTTCTTATGCTTTAGTATATAGCGGGCCGGAGAGTGGCTTTCAATTGATCTGCTTGTAACAACTTTATGAACAGGTGATTTTGGGGTTGCTGCACAGCTTACAAGGACCATGTCAAAGCGCAACACGGTACAGTAATTGCATATATGCTGCTTAATTCCTTACTTTGACATGAAATTTGGTGCTTTGCATCAGTAATTCAATATCATTTGAATTTTCTTGGATAAACATGCACATGAGGAAATTCTTGATATCTATCTGCTCTCTTACTCTCTTATGAATATCTTTTTCTTCCAATTATCTGGTGGTCCAAAGCTGATTGTTCAGCCTCATTATTTAGTCTTCTTCTGTGGTCTATTAACTCGTCATGATGCTTTGCGATTCTCTAACAAAGCTCAAGCCCTTTTGTTTCCTGTACCATTACCAGCTTTTTTTTTTGTGACTTGACTTTCTCCTCCTCTTTGTCAATTTTCTAAAATCTAATTTGAAATTTGTATTTATAGCAATAATTTATCTTTCACAATGGGAGCCTTGGAACTAATCTCTAGACCAGTTTCAGACAATCTGCTCTACCTTTCTCGTGCAACTATGGCTATGCTGGGCTAGTGGTCTTAACTGCGCTTCGCTGTTTTGTGTTCACTAATTGTATTGTCCCTTTTCATACATCAGTCCTTCGTGGCGTCAGCTTTCTGTTGATGTTTGATTATTGATTTGTCCCTGGAATTGGAATATTTTCATGTGCCTTGATCCTCTGGAAATTTACGAGAAGTGTTATTTGTCTCCGTGGGGTCATTTGGATGCAGGTTTTGGGTGATTTGGGCACAATTCTACATAATGTGAGATTTTATTAAAATCACTCGTTTGGAAAACAATTATATGATAATAGATTTTAAATATTAGAGATTTCAAAAATCCACAATTGTGGGATTATGAAATAGCTGATGGTGATCAGCTATTTTAAAATCTCACACAAATTCCACAGATTAAAAACCTGGGTTTTTAAACCAATGATTTGAGCCAAAATCCCACAAATTAAAAACATGGATCCAAATGACCCCGTGGATTTTAGATGTTGATTAGCCGCTCCAGCAGTTCTCACTATTGAATTGTTTCAATCATCATTTTATGTCATGCTTAACTTATTATTATATCTTTACGATCACAGTTCATCGGTATGCCACATTGGATGGCACCTGAAGTAATTCAGGAAAGCCGCTATGACGGGGGAAGGTAACATAAAGTCTTTGATTTTATTATCTTCAGATTCAGGATGGCATAAAAGCTTTAGCCATATGATTCGGGAGTATATCTAATGAGCAAAGATTTATGTTAGCACGTCTTGACTGATGTGGTTTGGTGGGTCGCACTTCATGAAATTGTTGTATCTGTTATTTATTCAAAGGGGCGGTCTGCATTCTCTTCTATCAGATTGGGTTATACGTTGGACCAACGACCCCTTGTAGTGATGTAATGTAAGAGGTAGCAACTGCTAAGGATGGCAATTTTGCCCATACCAATGGGTATTTTACTATCCAATCCAATTGGGTTGGGTATGAAATCCAAATATATGGATATGGGTAAAGTTTGATGGGTTTATACCCATACCCATTTACTTTGGGTTGAGTTGGGTTTATAACAAATGGATTTGGGTTTGTACCCATGCCCAAATACAAATTACAGTTTGGTACCTAAACTTAATAGATATGCATATTTAGTACCTAATTTTTTTTTGTATATAAGTCCTCAAAATATCGATGGAAAATTACGTTTTGGTACCTAAATTTTTTTGGTCTTACATTTTGGTACCTAAAATTTTCAAGTTTTACAAATAAGTCCAATTTTTGCATGTGTAGTTAAAGCACCCTCAAGTAAATGGATATCCATATCCAACCCATACTCATTTAGATAATATCCATATCTAACCCAAACCCATATACAAACCCCAAACCCATACACACATCACCCAAACCCTACCCATAATAAATGGGTCTACTTGGATTTGGGCAAAATTACCCATGGGTGGGTAAATTGCCATCCCTAGCAACTGCATTATAAAGTGTCGATAATGTTGAGTTAGTTTTCTGTTGTAACTCTCTTTTGGAGGAAAAATGGCAAGCATTCTTCAAGTAGGCTCTGTGTACCGAACCACAATGATACTTTGAGTAACTACAAAAGCAATGCTACCCCTGTTGGCACGTGTTTATACCCTGGATGCTATAGTCATGCTCCTTAAGAAAACTTTTTCAGATGTTTCTATCTTAAAACTTTTTTATTAAACCGGTATAGATCTGTTTACTGAAGTGTTATGCTGGCATTGGTCTTCAATATGGATTCTTTCGAAAGTATTATCGTGTCGGTAAATATTCCTCTTGTCACAAGTTTCTGTTTGATCTAGAGAGTCAAGATCTATTGAATAACTCGAGCTTATGGCATTCTGAGTTCAGTATGGATTCTTTCGAAAGTATTATCGTGTCGGTAAATATTCCTCTTGTCACAAGTTTCTGTTTGATCTAGAGAGTCAAGATCTATTGAATAACTCGAGCTTATGGCATTCTGAGTTCAGTATTACTGTTGCCAACTCCTTGCATCAAATGCTTCATTTCATTCTTCTTTTAATACGTTGCAGGTAGATGTATGGGCTCTTGGTGTTTCGGCAATTGAGATGGCTGAGGTATTCTTACTCACAGAAAACTATTTGTGTTTTGTAGCTTTACCATATTCTGCAATTTTGTTATTAAGATAGATTGACTCCTAGCTGTTACTACCTGGTTGTGGTTAGTCTCTCGTGAGTATGAGACCTGGTATGTTCAGCCAAAACTACCAAAAGTCGGTAGAAAGGGACCAAGTGTTTGACTTTGACATCCTCATATAGTAGAAGCCACAAAAAAAAAAAAAAAAAAAGTTTTATGTTTTATAGCTTTACCATATTGTGCACTTGTTCCGAAGGTAAAGTTACGTCTAGCTGTTAGCCTGTTTACTACTTGGTAAGTCTCTCGTGTGTATGATACCTGTTATGTTCCACCAAAACTACAAAGAGTCAGTAGTAAGGGACCAAAAATTTGACATCCTTTTATAATGGAAGCTCAAGATAAAAAGTCTCGTGAAACCAAGAAGATAAAGCACTCACTTTTTAGATTTGCCATCTCTCAGCCACATGGTTATTAGATTACTCTGTGATTATCTCGTGTTCATGGACTTGAATCATGCCGTTCTCATTTGAAAACCGCGCCGCATCCAATGTGCATTTTCTAATATCTGTTTCTGCATTGTCTACAGGGTCTTCCTCCAAGATCAGCCGTACATCCCATGAGGGTTAGTGCACAAACTTAACTCACATATTTTTCAGTTAGCATTCTCATATTCACTTTGTTAGGTACTCATATTTATTTTCTTGTTTACCCTGGTGGTATCGATACCTTAGTTTGTGGCTATTCCAATTATCTGAACAACTTCACAATCCTCTGGTATCCTAGGTCATACACCCTCATTGTCATCGATAAGGATTATAAATTTTTCTCCATCATCAAAACAATGTTAAGTATATTTTAAACAAACCTGATAGTTGTTGGCTTCTGTCCATGGTTAGAACTGTATCATGCATTCATGAGAAGCTTGTGCATAGTGTGAGCGATCCTGGACTGCTTACTTTAACACTGTCACAACTTTTGTCCTTTATGATGAGAATATACCCTCATTGTCTTAGATAATTATTATAAATTTTTCTCCATCATCAAAACAATTTTTAGTATGTTTTAAACAAAACTGATAGGTATTGTCTTCTGTCCATGGTTAGAACTGTATCATGTGTTCATGAGAAGCTTGTGCATAGTGTGAGCCAATCCTGGACTTCTTACTTTAACACTGTCACAGCTTTTGTCCTTTATGATGAGAATGGATTGTTAATGATTTTGGATTCTTTTAATTTTTTTAGGTTTTATTCATGATCTCTATTGAACCTGCTCCAATGCTTGAGGATAAAGAGAAGTGGTAGGTATTTCATCATGATGCCCCTAACCTTACATTAGTCTTTCAGCGGTTAGCTACATCCTCTTTGTGACTACATATGCTATGGTGTCTGAACTCTACTTGGTTTCGTTATTAGGTCACTTATCTTCCCTGATTTTGTTGCAAAGTGCCTCACAAAGGAACCACGTTCACGTCCACCTGCATTTGAATTGTTGCAGGTTTGGTCAGTTGTACAGCTCAATATATAAAACATGTACTTTGAAATACTTGGGAGTAAATTCCTTGTGCATTTTTCTGCTCTTGTTATCCTCTTGTTAAAGCTGCTTCTTTGTTAGGACTAGATCTTGCATTTTTCTATACCCTGGAGCTATTGCAGGGGTGTTTTCTGCTGCTTTCTTTATGCATATCTACATCACTGCATGTGCATTGCTTGATATTTTAGCCTTAATCATCTTGCAATGTGATGCTTGCTGTTGGTTGATAATGCAACCCTGGGGGTTGAATTTTTACCAAAGTAACGCAGCAAACAATCAATCCGAGGATTGATTAAATTCGAATCAAGAATAAAGCGCTCTTAATACGAACTTGGGATAAAACGGAACCAACGGACAATTCCACACCTGGGGAAAGCTCGTATGGTATAAAAGGGTAGCTGCTCGACCACGATTGAAGAGAATATTCAATCGATACAAAGCTCACAAGTTTGGAATCCACCAAACTCAAACAAGTCGCAACTTGCACAAAACCAAATGGTTTATTTTTCGATTAATCAAAGTCTTATGTTTTTACAACGAAAATAGAGAAGGTATTTAAAGGAAAATAAACCTAATACAAACCTAATGTAACTTGGAAACAATTAAGGTAAAAACAAACTCTAAAAACAGTACAAAACTCGGCCACAAACTTCCTTTCTTGACGCACAAGTAAGCTGCCAGCAAAACAGTCAAAAGCAGCTTTCATACTAACTTCACGCCTTTCGTTCGAGGCCTTCCCGAACTTCAATTCTTCATCCAATTCCTTTCTTTTGTTCAAAAACATACCTAGTTTCATGTTGTGGAAGCCTTTTGACTTGACTCCCATCCATGCTCCTTGAATTGAGCTCCAAAGTAAGCTTCACAAAACAGTTTTCTACTTAGCCATTTTCTGGCAATTTTCCAGTTTTGAGGTAGCAATTTTGAGGTCTTGGAAAACAAATTTAATGACATCTTATGAATCCAAAAAGTATACCATTAGAAAGATGGAAACTTTATCTTTAAAACAAACCCTTAACCTTGAATTTCCACCCAGCCAATTGAGAGAACCATGCCTCCAAAGTAGGTATCTCGAAACTGTCCCAACACTTTGCCAAAAATCAGAATTCTTCTTCTAAGTTGAGATGGCTTCTTTGACAAGTAATTGTGAATTGTGGATTGATCCAATTGGGATCATATCAGTTGACATTTAACTATTTGAGTGCCTGAAAGAACTATCAATTGTTGAACATACCTATTGATTTTGTTAGTAGAAACACAATTTACAAATTCAGAACTACTCAACAGGTGATATGTGATACTTTCATCAGCCATAAATTTGTGTTTCTTTTGTGGGCTATAGCCTATAAGTATCAAAATCATGTTTTGTTGGTGCAGGTCTGAAATGGGAGAAGTAGTAGCTTCCTGAGCGACGAGAGCCTTCCACCTCTGCATTGGCAGCAATTGAATATTTTGCATAGTTGATCTAGACATCCACAGGTTTTTCATGTCTGTTAGTTGAAACATCATGATGGAGCCACTAAAGCCAGATTATATAAATGGTGCATATTTCTACTAGAGTTTTCTTGTTTTAGCTTTTTTCCTTACTCTAGTTTTCATAGTTTGGAACACATCACAAATTCATCGAAAGATGCAAAGTTGGAGCCTCCGCAATGTTGCCTAAGATTGAAAAAGCTAGAAGAATAAGGGCAGCAATCGCTATGCAACCACAATATCTTGATCCAGGTGTTTCAGAGGTTAGCATGTACCACCATGTCACTTTATGAGGAGTCCGAATGTTTCTACCTTTAATCTCTTTGGAATTTCCTTATGTTCTTTACTTGTAAAACAGCCACCAGAAGGATCAAATTTGAATCCTGATTATTTTGGGAGCACAGTTCCTGCAAGGAGACTGCAGGAAGCAAGTGAATTGCCCAGCTCATCAGATGCCGGGCAATTTGCTGTTGAAGGTAACCCCCATTTTGTTCATTTTCTTTTATTTATTTTCTCTTGTGCACTATAAGTAGTAAGGTAAGGATTTTCAGAAAAAAAAAAAAGAATCTAGAATTGTTTAGTGATAGAAACCTATTTCTAAGGTTCTATCGATTGGGTTGGGAAATTGGAGATTGATGGAGATTTTAGGGATTGAGAAGAGATTAGGGATAGAGTTTGAGAATTTGGGGAAGAACATACAAGAATGGCCGGCGGCCTAGGTAGAGGTGAAGACGAGGTTGAGAGGAGAAGATTAGGGTTTTGGAAGGGATAACTTTTTTATTAATTTATGCTTAATCGAACAAAGAACGTAAATTACATATTTATAGCTAAATACTGGAAAAACACTAATAGACTATCCTAATATGACTCAAAAACTACTAACCATATCTAATAATATCCTAATTATAATAATAATAATTATTATGATAGAACCCATAAATTAGGTTTCTATCATTTAGGCTTTCTTATTTTGTGTTATAACTTTAGTAGAAGGAGACCTTCATGAAGAAAAATGTGAATTAGACTGAGCTGACGCCGCAAGTGAAAGAGTTAAAATTCTCATGTTGCTGTTTTCCGAAGCGTGAATTCGTAATTATTATTCTGAAGGCCAGCTTCATTTTAGGCGAGTTCTCAGTAATTTTAGCTCTGCTTAGAACTTGTTGATTAAAGTAATGAACTGTGGGATATTGTCCTTTTCCTTCTGGTCATACTGAGGATTCCATGGATCCGCAGAAAGTGGGGTTTTTTCCTGAGCTCTTTCATTTGTGTTCTTGTTCTTATTGATTTCGACATCTAGACCAGTTTATGTGCTTCATGTACAGGTGATTTTGGTACATTTATAGTTCATGGTGGAGAGGCGAGGAATAAGACAATGAAGCAGAACCAATTCAACTCTACGAGAGAAACCCCTCACGATCTTAGGCACACAGAAGATGCTTCGGTTAGCGGAGGAGGCCACTCATCTAAATCCTGGTAGCTCAAAACTGCCCGGATATTGTCATCAAAAGTGCATTTTAATTATTATCAACAAGTTTTCTAGCATCATTCCCTAGGGAGAAGCTATCCTCTTTACATGCTTGTTATCTTCTAAAAGCTCATATCAGAACCAATTCAACTGTAAGTTTATGTCTGTCTCAAGTGCAAGAATTTGTTTGGTTGTCAGGATTGACAGTACCAATAGTGTAACTGCAAACAAGATTTTGCCTGGTGATGCATCACAGACTATTAAGGCGTTAGCATCTCCTCGTGCAACATCCTCTGAGACTCCCAGGGCGAACAACTTATCTCAAACAGTTGGAGGTGGTGATGTAGGAATGAGTAGCAGAACTTTAAAGGGCTAATACGACTACAACACCCGAACTATCCGCAAAATGCCACTTGTGTCCTATTTTATTCAATATTCCATTCATATCCCGACATATGATATTTTGTGACATTTGTATCTTGACATTTTCGTTGACCGTTAAAGATAACAGTTGACCAGACGGTGGTCAAAGTGATGGTTGACTTTTGATGATTTGGCAAAAATCAAACAGCCACACAGATGCCACGTCATTGCCACATGGATTATTTTTAATAAAATTAAGTCTAAATAAAAAAATATAATATAATATATAAAAATAAAAAAATTAAATTAAATTTTGCCAAATCATTAATACATAAAATAACTATTTTTAATAAAAAGTAAATTGATTTAAAAATAAAAACAATAAAAATAGTCTAAAAATACAAAACTCCCCATTTAGATTTGTTCTTCGAGAGGAACCCAGATCAGGGACCAAATCTTTAATTTATCTTGTATTATATGTCAGAAATGCAACCCGGCAATATCTTCTCCTCCACCTCCTCCTCTCCATCTCCGTTTTCGTTTCCAGCGAAGAGCCAGAGCAATCCACTCTGCTTTGATTTCTGTTTGCCTTCTTCGAGATCCATAATCGGTGGCGGCGTCTTCCGTCACAGTCGACGGCGGATTACTTCTAGCGGATGATGATTCCCCTCTTCCAGGAAACATGAAAACAATGATGGCGGGGCTATGGGGATCCAATTTGCTTGGATATGGGAGGTTGATTAGGTTAAGAAATCTGTGACCGTGAAAGAAAATCAAAGATCTTATAATTTTGAGTTTAAACCCTGTTTTTTATTTTTTGGCAGAGATACGTTGTACGTGTACGATTTGAGAAAGATTGGCAGCGGCGGGGGATGAGGAGGACTTGACTGCATCTCAGCTTCACACTCATCTTCTTACTTCCTGGCCGGCTTCTCCATATCTTTCTGCATCTGTTGGTGAGGTCAAATAGGAAGGGTTTTATTTAGATCTGGGGTAGAAGGGGTTGTGATATTGACAGATAAGGAGATTTGGGGTTTTGTTCTGAGTTTCAAATTTGGGCAAGCTTTAGGTTTGGTGAGAATGGGTTTGGGAAGAAAAAGAACAGGTGAAACGTTGTCTCTATTCTCTCGATTCCATTTCTATTCGTGGAATTCAGTTCGAATAAGGGTTCCGGTGAATGTGAGATTATGGAGAGGGAGGAGGTTTTCTACGCCCAAAAAACGAATACTGTGGAGATTAAAAGGCCGCTCTAGTTTTCTACGCCGGGAAAGCTTCGATCAAGAGGAATTGGATTGCCTCGCTAATGTGGATCGCTTCACCGGCAAGAACTCTGACTCAGGGTAAGCAATCTCTCTTCCCCCACCGCAATAACCTCTAGATCTGGAGAAGAGAAGTAGGATGGCCAGTGAATCGTGGATCTGGAGAAGAGACTCGTCGATTTGAGTTATTTTTTTAATTTTCCATAATTTTTATTTTGTTTTCCTTATTTTAATTATATTATTTTAGATGGAAAAATAAATGAATATTGATAATAAAAATTCCACGTCAGATGCCACGTCAACGCTGACTGGATTTTCTGTTAAATACTAACGGTCAACGCCGGTTAACACTAACAGAATAATAGTTCAGGACACAGATGGAATATTAGAAACAATAGTACACAAGTGACATTTTCCAGATAGTTCGGGTGTTGTAGTGGTATTTGCCCAACTTTAAGGAAAAAATCCAAAAACACCACTGTTTAAATTTTTTTTTCCAAAAATACCACCCAACCCAAAAAAATTTCAAAAATACCACCCTTTTTCAAAAACCACCACCCCACCCAGCGGTTTGGTCGAAAACCGCTTGTCGGGGGCGCGGTTTTGGACCAAACCGCGGGCCTAGGGGGCGGTTTAAAAAAAAAAAAAATTTTGGACCAAAACCGCTGGGTGGGGTGGCGGTTTGGCCCAAAACCGCCACCCCAACCAGCGGTTTAGTCCAAAAGTTCGGTCGAAACTTCAAACGAACATAACTTTGTACTCGGGTATCCGATCGTAGCGGTTTTTTTTTTCATTTCGCATAACTTTTCAAGATCTACAACTTTTACTAGGATGAAATTTTCAAAACAGGAACTATTTGTGGATATACGGGACCTTGAGAATAACTTTACCTTTACTTTTCAGAAATCCATGTACATTTTGAAATTATGATATATTAAAAGTTGTAGATCTTGAAAAGTTATGCGGAATAAAAAAAAAGTTCATAACATTCGGAGTTTGGAGCACAAAGTTATGGCCGCCCAAAGTTTGACGAAAGGCGAGACCCGGCGGTTTGAGGCTTGCAAGATCTCAAAAAGTTTGCGGCCTCCATTTTTTGAATCCGAATAACTTTTTGAGATCTTGCAAGTCTCAAACAGTCGGGTTCCGTCTTCGTCTCGAGAAAACGTCATTTGCCACCCCGAACGACCTTTTTTTATTTCGTCAAACTTTGGGCGGCCATAACTTTGTGCTCCAAAATCTGAATGTCATGAATTTTTTTTTATTCCGCATAACTTTTCAAGATCTAAAACTTTTAATATAATCATAATTTCAAAATGTACATGGATTTCTGAAAAGTAAAGGTAAAGTTATTCTCAAGGTCACGTATATCCACAAATAGTTCCTGTTTTGAAAATTTCATCCTAGTAAAAGTTGTAGATCTTGAAAAGTTATGCGAAATGAAAAAACAAATCGCTACGATCGGATACCCGAGTGCAAAGTTACGTTCGTTTGAAGTTTCGACCGAACTTTTGGACCAAACCGCTGGTTGGGGTGGCGGTTTTGGGCCAAACCGCCACCCACCCAGCGGTTTTGGTCCAATTTTTTTTTTTTTATAACCGCCCCCTAGGCCCGCGGTTTGGTCCAAAACCGCGTCCTCGACAAGCGGTTTTCGACCAAACCGCTGGGTGGGGTGGCAGTTTTTGAAAAAGGGTGGTATTTATGGAATTTTTTGGGATTGAGTGATATTTTTGGATTTTTTTTTTTAAACAGTGGTACTTTTGGATTTTTCCCCAACTTTAAAAGGTGAAACTGCCAGCAAACGAGTCTTTGCATTGCAGGATAAGGTTGTTATTTCTGCCCACCTCCTTTCACCACTTAACACTAGCGAACTGAACCTTTTTATCTTGTGAGCTTGCTCCCCGGGACAAATTAGTTGCTTTCTTTAGGCTGGCGAGCTACTAACCTGGAGCTCATCTTTTGCAGCTTTGGTCCATATATGCAGCCGGCAATACTGTACATATTCCGTTCTTAAGGGCAACCGATATATCACCCATTGCTCTTTTGACAGACAATGTCTTAGGAGCGAGGTACTAACCATGATAATGGTGGAGCCGCTGCTGCAGAAGCACTGCAAGAGCTTTTTACTGGTGATGGTTTGTCCAAAAAGGGTCGAACGGTACAAAATGAGGTACTTCCTCCCTTCTCAGCCTGCTGGAGAACAGAAGAATTTTAGGGTGTGTTTGTTTCATCTCATGCTAAAAAATAACTGTGCGATGTTAAAAATCTTTGATAAGATATGGGATTGTGTTTGGAAATAAACAAGCATCGACAGGATCTAGATAATTTATGTAAGAAATTAGTGGGTTTTAGGAAATTGACTATTCTACTATTAATGTTTAAGAATAGATTCTTGTTCCAAAGGGGCAAAGCTTGAGATGAATTTCTACTAGTGAGGTGATTTTAGATTTGACAAATGCTGCAGATGCCGTTGCCACCAAGTGTTCACCAGAGGCTAGGGTCGGGCTCGACGCTTAAGAATCTGGCACAGGCTCTAGCTTACCACAAAATGTAAAGGCTTTTGGTCCCTTTTTTGATCAAGTTGTTATGACTCTGTACGATATAGATCCATCCACCTTATGTCTCTTAGTATCCTATCTTGTACGTCCATTGCAGGTGCTACGAGGAGATGCCGCTTCAAGGTTTGCAGGTGACACGAGAACAACAAACCATTCAGAATCTCACAGATACTCTCCGAACAATCCTCCGGTTGTAGATACAAAAATAGTTAGATGACACTGTTTGAACTTTGGGCGATGAGGGAATTTCCTTTTTTTTTTTTGCTTTGAATTCTCTCCTTGATTATTTTTTTATCATGTTTTGCTAGTATAACTAAGGGTGCGTTTGGATACAATGATTTGGATTTGGTATTTGTGATTTGTATTTCCAAATACCAAATCATGTGTTTGGATATTAATTACATTTGGTATTTGGATTTGTGTCAAATTCATGGGTTGATTTCCAAATACATGTCTAGTGTATTTTTTGTCAACTTCAAATACATTTCAACAACTAGTGATTTGAAATACCTCCTAACAAAAGAATGGACCTATTTGTAAAATATGAAAAGTTTAGGTACTATAGTGTGAGGAAAAATATATAAAGGTACCAAAATGTAATTTTACCATCAAAATTTCAGGACCTTTTTGTAAAATTTTAAAAGTTTAGGTACTAAATTGTAAGAAAAATAATTTTGGGTACCAAACTATAATTTACCAAAATTTGTAGTAAGTGACCAGAAAATTAAAAATTGAAATTGAAAATCATAAAATACAAAATACAAACAAATTACAAATGAGTATCCAAACAATGAATTTGAAATACATGTATTTCAAATGCTAATATTTCGAATACATCCATTTCAAATGCTAATATTTCAAATATCTTACATTTAAAATCCACTTATCCAAACGCACCCTAATACCTTTGTTTGTAAAGGGGTTTGTGTCGGGATAATTTTGTTAGATGAATGTGAATGATGGAATACAGGTTTTATTTTGAGTTCTCCACGATGCCAAAAATTGACCACACCATTGTTCCCTCAAAGCACAAGTTCCAAACAATCTAAATGGCATCTTCGGACGAGGAAAGCAACAACCTAGACTAGAGCATTAAAATATCACATTGGTGATTGGTCTACCATCTCTACAAATCTCATATAGTAGTCCTTACGTTGAGATAATGTACGGATGATTGGAGATAGAATCCATAGGTATTGTCATTGGCCTGAATCGGCGATTTTTGTGGTCTTCCTAGGTGTATGTTAAGGAGATGGTAGGCTTGCATTGCCAGCATTGTAAAACCAATTGCATTTTAAATTTTTATTGCTATTTCAATGTTTTTCAATCTAACTCATATTAATTTCATTGTACCTATACCAATGCAATCCATTTGCAAATGCATATTTAGTGAAAATTATGTTTAAATTATGACAAACTAAAGTAAAAGGGAAACTAAAATAGAAAATAAAGAATCCCTATTTAGGCCATTTTAACTTGCATATGCAATTTAATTTTTTTGCAAGCTTGCAAATATGCAATAGATAGCATATTGATGCAATTTGTTTTGCAATTGCAAACTCAATGTCATGTTATCTTGCAATTCGAAATCCAAGACAAATGTAGATACTCTCATGGTGATAATTAATTCTACATTTAAATTACTTGGATTTTTTAGTTGGCGTGCTTGATCGACTAGATATGGTCTGTTGGATAGATCCACGAATGAACGGGTCATTCATATGTCTCTCAGGATTTTCACATTCTCGACAAACATTGCAGATTCTATTATTTCTTTTGCATGTAGACACTACTCTCACGTGGAGATATGATATGTGAAATCATCGTCTGCAAGGTGACTAGTGCGATTGAGGTAATTTATTAGCTGTGACTTAAGGGGAATATTGGTTGTTACCACACGCTTTTATCCCCTGGAAGTCGGGCCTTACCTCGTTGGCCATAAGCTTGTTAAGGTCGACTAGCAAGCAAACCATGCCTTTCTATGCCCAAGAAGATCTCCTAAATAACCTTACAAAAAGTCCTCTAAATTGACTCCCTCGGCCAACATTTAAAGATTAGTCTTTTACATGGGGTTACTCTGCCTCTAGAGCTACTCAACATAACCAGAATGGATCAGAAGCCCGAGGGCATAATAGTGGCCAGAATGGCGCCATTTTGCCTCTTAAACCACCATTTTTCAGAAGATAGGTAGTTCGTCTTTCGACTGATATATCTCCTATATTCTGTTCCCATGAGTGGTTAGTTCGATAGTTGTACAGGTTTGTGACCCTAAAGTTTCCTTACATAATTTATTAGCCAATTTTTGATTATATATATATATGGTGATGTCTATTGTCCACCACCAAATAATGGCAGTATGTCGTACACCACCCATCTCTGCCGTGCGATCCATCTCAACGGCCGAGATAAATAGCGGGCTATTTTTTGTGGGATAATAAATACAATTACAGTATCAGTCCCCCACAACCCAAAAACGTTATATTCTAATCCACTTCCGTCGGATGGTTGGCCAGGACGTATGAACCAAAGTCATGTTTTGGCCAGACGATTCAACCCTCATCTGCAAACCACCTAACCCTTTTCACTTCCTCTTGTAACGTCATCCCTTCATCCGTCCCGCATTCTTTCTCTCTCTCTCTCTCTTCCCGCCTCCTCCATTCCGAAAAACGAGTCCACTTCAATCGTTTCCAATTCCGGTCCAGAACTTTGTAATCACAACCCTCGTTCTCCGTAGAATTCGATCCGAGAAATTATGATGCACAAAGTATTATTCTTTCGTCCCTCCATTCACTCAATCATTCGCCATTTCCGACCAGAGCACTGGGCCCAAATCGAGAGCCATGGTACACCGGTGCCTCTCTCTATTACATGATTGCACAAATTAGACCACAAGTTGCGGTACCCATGCCATAAGTTCGTTAAAGCACACCACATGATCAATATCGTACACCACAAGTTTATTATTGCATGCCACAAGTAACGTAGAGTAAACCACATGTTTATAAAAGCACGCCACAATTCTATTGTATTGCTCCTTTATTTATTTAGTTTTTCGTTCATGTTCCAGGTAGGTGTACTCCGTTCTGGGATCGTTTCGGCCGGAGGAAGAAGATGACCAAGAAGGAATTTCAATTGAATTGTGGCTACATAGTTATCTTAACTTGTGTTTGTGAAATAACCTACCCTATTGGGTTTAGAATACTGCAATATGATCTCGGATCCAATTATGGCTCTCGTGGGCTTAATGCATGTGGGGTTAATGGGCCAGGCACCAGACCATTCAAACTAGGGTTGAAATCTTAATAAATGTGGTTTGGTTTTCAGATATTCTGAAACTATTAATTAGGGATCAAATTTTTTGGAAATTCTTAATGTATTTGATTTTCACTAGGTCTCGAAGGGATTATTCGTTGTGAAGGGAGAGAAAGAAGAACAATCTAACCACACCCCAAGTTACGTAAAAGCACATCACAAATCTTCTAAATCATACCAAATATCATAAAAAGCACGCCAAAAGTCTATCTATTGTATTTCAAGTAATTATTATGAGGGGTCGAATTAGTGGCTGAGCTTTCAACTCTATCTATTGTCCTAGTGTTATAGCTAATTATTTAAAGCGTCGAATCATTGGTGGAGATTTTCTAGTCTGGGTGTGAGGTATATTTGTCGATATGTAGGAGGTAAGTGATATGTACTTTGCAAGGTAAGTAATAAATTTTGTATTTATCACTTTCGGGACTTTTGTTTTTCCATTTTTTAAGTTTTAGCAGAATCGATACTCTTTATATTTCCTTGATTTCTTCCATCTTTCCATCTCTTTGCATTTTGTCTTACTATCTCTTTACCCTTTCATTCTTTGCTTTGTTTCCGTTCTCTGCCCCAAACATGGCTGACAACATCCCCCTTCCATTACTTCACGGTGTTAGCCAAACCTTTGTAAACAAGGTTGTTAATGAACCAGCGAAAAGGAATCGTGATCGGTTCTCTAGATTGTTTGCTTCTTGTTCTCTTCACACTAAAATCATTGTCGACCCTGCAGAGTTTCGAGAGTTTGATATTGAGGTGCTGCACTACATCAACAACCTTGGATGGGGTTTTTTCTTCACTCCCTCCCTCTGCCTCCATGTCCTCTCGCTGTTAGGTATTTCTATGCAAACATGCAATGCATGGGTATTGAATCTCGAGAGTTCTCAAGTATTGTTGCTGGTAATGAGATCAGTCTGACAGCTAAAGGCCTAGGTCGGGCTCTTAACTTTCCCACTGGCGGCCTTCCCCTTGCTCATTGGCAAGAAATGGTTGCGTACAAATTTGATCCCCCTGAGAAATACGACGAGCTTCTTGGAAGGCCTGTACTCCCCACTAAAATAATCACCACTGCATCTCTCAATCGTCTGCATAGGCTTCTCCACTATTTCATCACGCATGTCTTTCTTCCCCGCAGCGAGTCGCTTGATGTCGTCAATCAGCTTGATCTTTGGGTGATCTCCAATGCCTTGGCTGGACGCAAGCTTGACTATTCCCACTTGCTTTTCGGCTGCATGATTAGAGCAAGTAGTGACGACGAGTATAGTGGGAGTTTTCCCTTTGGTGGATACATAAGACTTCTGCTTGCCAATCTGGATATTCCTCTGGATGGTTATATTTTCGAGGAAACATCCATCCTTATACATGCCGCCCTCATAATGAGGCACTATGTCATCCCACGTAGGCCTTTAGAAGGGGC